GTGTGTGTGTGTGTGTGTGTGTGTGTGTGTGTGTTATGTTTGTCTAGCGTCGTGTAATGTGTTGGGCGTGATTTGTGTCTCTGTGCGCGTGTAGTTCTGGAACCCAGGAGGCCCCAGGCGGCCTCAGGAGGCACCAGGAGACCTCAGGATGCTTCAGGAGGCCCCAAGAGGCTCCAGGAGGCCGCAGGAGGCCCCAGGAGGTTTCAGGACACCCCCAGGAGGCTCCGAGGCGGGGTCTGGGGTGCCAGAAGGTCCAGACGGCCCAGGAAGCCCCAGGAGGTTCCAGAAGGCCCCCAGGAGGCTCCGAGGCGGGGTCTGGGGGGTCGGTTTAGGAAGGATTTTTCAAAATGATTTTTCAAGCGAAACAGCAATTCACTGAGAATCGGGGTCGCAATTGTTGAGCTTACAGTATATACATATATACATACATACATACATACATACATACATACATACATACATACATATATATATATATATATATAACGCATTTGTTTAACAAAGTTTTATGTTAAAGTGTTAAATTCCCCATGTTTTTTGACCCTGACGTCGCGATCTGCGTGAGGGGTGCCACCGGTTTTTAGAATTTCGAGGATGTCCCGAGCGAGGCGCCTAGAAAAATCGCGGACGCGTGCGCATTAATCGCATCTGAGCTCAGATCGGATGCTTTCCCTGGAAGCATCCATCATCAGGCAGGAGTGTCAGCATGGAGGCATCACATGGGGACGATCTGAGCAGCAGCTGGCCGACGGCCTTACGAAGAAGATGGACACTCCACACCAAGATCAAGTTTTCCACGAGAACCTATGGACTTTCGGACAAGATCCCCGAGCGCCCTCACTCAGGAAGCGGAAGCGGACCGACCCCTGGGACGAGATTCAGCGTTCTCAGCGAGTCGAGTTGCAGGAGGATGCCAATTACCTGAAGGCCAACTACGCCAAGCCCAAGGACTACAGTGCAGAGGACGTTAGATCGAGGATCGATGTGCATGAAATGGTTTACCAGGCGGAAATGCGCACATTTATGACGACTAGGACTTCTCGATTCATGCGTGCAGCTGTTTTCCAGCATTTTGGCAAGCAGTTTTTCTCCAGGTACAACGTTGGCACAGGTGGCGGCAGCGGCCGCAGCAATAGCATCAACTGAACCGGTGATCGGCCAGCAGGTTTCAACTTATGTTTTGGCCGAGCCGTTTGATCAATGGTCTCAGTTTTTGCTGTCCCCAGCTGGGACATTCGCAGCAGGAGTTTCATTCGGTGTAATTTTTTATGGCTTTGATTTATGTACTTCCCCTCAGACATTCAAGCCGGAGCCGGTGTCGACAACGGATGCAGTTTCACAGCCAGCCAGCTCCACGGAGATTGTTACCAGACCACCGAGCAACGGACTCAAACTGTCACCGAGCAGTGCTGCACGGAATATGGACGATCTAGGAATGATTCACATGCCTCACACACCGGACGTACAGAAGAAGCTCGAGGCTATGCCGGTGTATGCGTTGCAAGGCATTTTGCGTGAGATGAACCTCCCAGCGTCGGGGCTCAACGCAGGCCTGGTTCGGAGGATCTTTCTGGAAAGTTAATGGTCGTTCAAACTCGTTTTGTTTCGTTACATGTTTGATGCGCGAACGGTTGCTGCGGCTGCCTTGGGCCGAGCCTGTTGTGATTTTTCAGAGCACAACTCTTTTATGCAGAAGGTTATTTATGCAGGCTGCTGATCTCCAGTTTCTGAAAGCGCAAAATTTATATTCTGTGTGAAGATGAGAGTTTTGGGGACAGCCCGAAACGCAGTAGATAAGCAGTTTAGGTGTGGAATGCCCTTGCAAGGGCTTGAGGAGTTCCATTCCCTACCTAGGCTCTGCCTAGAAGGGTTCTTACTCTCTTAGCTTAAAGGGGCCGGGCAGTGGAAAGCGCCCCGGGCGGTTCCCCCAGTGCCCTGGGAGCGGTTCCCCCCAGTCCCCTGGGAGCTTTAGCTTTAGCTTTAGCTGAGCTTTAGCTTAGCTTTTCGCTTAGCTTTTCGCTTAGCGCTTAGCTTAGCTTTAGCTTAGCTGTAGCTTAGCTGTAGCTTAGCTGTAGCTTAGCTTTAGCTTAGCTTTAGCTTAGCTGTAGCTTAGCTTTAGCTTAGCTTTAGCTTAGCTTTAGCTTAGCTGTAGCTTAGCTTTAGCTTAGCTGTTGCTCAGCTTTAGCTTAGCTTTAGCTTAGCTGTTGCTCAGCTTTAGCTTAGCTTCAGCTTAGCGTTACTGTTACTACTAATGCTGCTTTCCTAAGGGTTCCAACTCCTAGGTAGGGTCGCACTGGAGTTGGCGCTCCTAGGAGCTAGGAGTTGGAGCGACCCTAGTGCGACCCTACCTAGGCGACCCTAGTGCGACCCTAGTGCGACCCTAGTTGGAGCTAGAGATCCCACTGCGACCCTACCTAGGAGTTGGAGCTCCTAGGGAAGCAGCATTAGTAGTAAAAGTAAGGCTAAGCTAAAGCTAAGCTACAGCTAAGCTAAAGCTAAGCGAAAGCTAAGCCAAAGCTAAGCCAAAGCTAAGCTAAAGCTAAGCTAAAGCTAAGCTAAAACTAAACTAAATCTAAGCTAGAGCTAAGCTAAAGCTAAGCTAAAGCTAAGCTAAAGCTAAGCTAAAGCTAAACTAACGCTAAGCTAACGCTAAGCTGAAGCTTAAGCTGAAGCTTAAGCTAAATCTAAGCTAAAGCTAAGCTAACGCTAAGCTAAAGCTAAGCTAAAGCTAAGCTAAAGCTAAGCTGAAGCTAAGCTGAAGCTAAGCTAAAGCTAAGCTAAAGCTAAGCTAAAGCTAAAGCTACATCTAAGCTAAAGCTAAGCTAACGCTAAGCTAACGCTAAGCTGAAGCTTAAGCTGAAGCTTAAGCTAAAGCTAAGCTAAAGCTAAGCTAACGCTAAGCTAAAGCTAAGCTGAAGCTAAGCTAAAGCTAAATATAAAGCTAAATATAAAGCTAAATATAAAGCTAAGCTGCAGCTAAGCTGCAGCTAAGCTAAATCTAAGCTAAAGCTAAGCTAAAGCTAAGCTAACGCTAAGCTGCAGCTAAGCTAAAGCTAAGCTAAAGCTAAAGCTAAGCTAAAGCTAAAGCTCCCAGGTTGACTGGGGGAACCGCGGGGCGGGGACTGGGGGAACCGCCCGGGGCGCTTTCCACTGCCCGGCCCCTTTAAGCTAACAGAATAAGAGCCCTTCTAGGCAGAGCCTAGGTAGGGAATGTTGCATAATATGTCATGTTGTGTTTCCATGGCCGTTTGCTTCTCAAACGATATCAGGGGCCCCCCTTTTTGAGCAAGACAGCGATAACAAGTTATCAGACGTGTTCCAGTCCTAGGCTGGGGTTTCCCTGATTTCATCAGCTGTGTGTGTGTGTGGTGCTCTACGCACCATTTCATGTTTGATCGACCGAGCGGATCTTGCAGCTCGTGGAGAAGTGGCTCATATCCATTATCATTGACACAAGAGACCCCCAAGAGCCTCCTAGATGTCCCCAAGAGGCTCCCACGCCCCCAAGAGGCCCCCAAAGTGCTCCCAAGAGGCCCCCGAGAGCGCTCCGAAGAGACTCGAAGAGACATCTCTGAAAACTCTGATCCGCAACCCAGATCTGGAGGCGAGATGGGCCGAATGCCATGAGATAATCATCGCAAGGCTCGACAACAATCTGGCGATTCACCGCAGGCGCGGCTGACCCAGACAGCTGGTGGCCTTTCAAAAGCATGAAGCGACACACATCCTTTGAGATCTCCTCCTGGCCCGCCTAGCTAGCAGGCTGCTATGGTTTTTCCTGCGATGCGACAACCTACGCGATTGTAGTGGCTACGCGTTCCTGGGTCCCTCTGGATGCAAAGCTTGAGTGGCGATGATCTCACACAAGTGTCCTTGTAATCCGACCGCAGAACAACCACCGAGAAGACAAGCTGCGCAAGCCCGTCCGCATGCGCCCTGTCTGTTTGGCATACTGGCTGCGCAGCCAAGTGCGCAAACGCTTCCGCACTTGTCTGAGACAGCTCGCAATTTGCAGTTTGCGAACTGCCTGCGCCCCCAATGCGATTGTGAACCCGACCGCAAAAGGGGGGCATACTATGCAAGCCCATTGATCTGTCCTCAAACATTGGGCGCATATAAGCCCAGCGCTAGAGCATTGCAGCCCACGTGCGCACGCACGCGCACAAAGACCCACACAAGAACACGACATGTTGTCAACGACATGCGCGACGGCCTCTGACCAGCAATGCAACCGCCACCAATACAGCAACGCATCGTCGAGAAATGCAACCATTGCTGACCCATTCCGTGAGCCGCGCCGCCCGTAAACGACTTGCCTTCCGCCAACCACGCACGATCGTTCGAACGAAGACGCTGACGCGGAATATTGTGGTGCACCCCTTGGGCATTGCAAATGTGTCTAGCCACAACACAACCGCCAAGAAGGCAAGCTGCGCAAGCTTTTCCGCATGGACCCTGTGTGTGGACCGCATCCTGCTTTCGCGGCCAAGTGCGCACACCGGCTAACCCCAAAACACACACAGAACATGACCAGAAATGGTAGCACTATCTATTAGGCCATGGGTGCGTCCTCGAATCCTGTGCGCATGCGCAAATAACACCAGCACTAGAGCATCGCGCCCTCCACACACAGACACAAACGTAGCATGCTGCCATGGATCTGTGCGGCGGACTCCTGACCAGCAGTGAACGGACTTTTGAACCAACAGTACGAGCACCGCCAATACAGCAATGCACCGTCGAGACACGCGTGCATTGGCGACTCCTTTCGCGAGCCGCGCCGCCCGCAAACGACTTGGCGCCTGGCAGCAGCAATCGAACATTCGACCGAAGACGCTGACGCGGAGCACGGTGCTGCCTCCCTGAAGATCTGCTCTGTAGTATCTTGCCATGCACCTCTCATCCCACCACCACATCATCTCGCACATACCCTTGACCATATCCGGCGCGGGAAAGATCTCTTGGAAAATAGCCGCGTGCGTAGCAACGAGAGCGCCTTTTGCAACTCCGCATGGTAATGCAATCGGTGCGCCCTGCTCGCCATCGCCTGCGGCTGCGATGCCGTGCACGACTGCCGCGCCCAAGAGCACGGATCCCCCCCCCTCTTGGTGCAGCGGTTGCTGCCGCGCCCAGGTCTCCCTAACTCTGCGTCGGCAGCGGACTCGCAACGGAGCGCTGAGCAGAGGCAACCGCCGCGCCTGGGCCGCACCCGGCCGAACCGCGGCTGCACGACGGAGGAACTAAACGCAAGAATCGTGTTCGAATCCACGTGGACGCGAACCAACGCGTTCAGCCACAATCCCGAACCCTGCATGCCTACGTGCCTTTTCGTCCCAGACCGTCCTGTCCGGCCTGGACCGGTCCGTGCGTGGGCGTTCGTGCTCCCTTTCAGGCCCGTCATGTGCCTCCCAACGTGTGCCTCATGCTTCACTCTGTCCTCTCCCCTCCCTTCTCGCCCGGTGCTCGCCGTCCGCCGACAGCCGTCCGCCGACAGTGTGGCTCGATCTCAGGCCTTGGCTCGAAGCGGCGACCGAAGAGACCGAGCGCCGCGCGCTGGATCCCCCCGGCGACCGCGCCGCCCGCAGAGAGACAGGCCCACGCGGGATCTGGCCTCCTGAAGGCCAGCACCCTCCAGCAGGAGGACTCCGAGGAGCCCCTCGGACGCATCGGAGCGCGCAGCGCTGCCAGCGCGTCCTGCGCACCACGGAGTCGCGCGGAAGTGCGGCTGCGGAGGCGTCGGTGTGGCGCTCGCGTGGGCGGACGGGGCTCGCCGCGCGTGGCCCGCGCACGGCACGCGGCACGAGCGCATGCCGTGCGCGCTGCTGGTCACGTGCGCACGGAGCGCGAACGTCCCGCGCAGCACAGTCTCATGACTCGAAAGCTAGGCGAGAGCTGCTAAAACCGTGGCTGCTAAAACGGCCCTCCCGGAAGGAAAACACGACTTCCCGGAATGAGGCGCGGCACGCGAAACAGTCAACGGGCTTCTTCCCGGAAGGACGAAGACAACTTCCCGGAGGTCGATTTTAGCAGCCACGGGCTTAGCAGCCCTTTCCCGGCTTCTGAATGACACGCACCAACTTGTTACTGAGATGCCAAGGGCGCTTGGTAGATGTTGGGCGACATGGTCGAGCACCAGATTGCTTCCTATGACCTATGATGTGCGCATGCTGTAAGCCCGTCGGAGCCCTTGCGAGGCCATCAGGCTGCGCGGATCAGGCTTACCGCTCCCTGCTCTAGTCCCAGTTTCAAGTCTCCCATGCTATAGCCCTACTGTCTACTTCCTACTGCAAATTGTTACTCACCGCGCGAGGGGGGGAGCCTCTAACCATCCTTTCAACCTTTCCTGGATCGCGTGCTCTGAATTTCGGCGGGGCCGTGGGACAGTTACTTGAGATTGGCGGCCCCGAGGCCACGACCCCCAGTAAATCATAAAATGTTCGCGTTCCCGAGGCCACGATCCCTTGCGAATTATGCAATGTTCGGGTTTCCGAGGCCACGATTCCTCGTAATTTACGCTGTGTTAGGGTCCCTGTGGCCATGATCCCTTGTACATTACACCGTATTGGCGCCCCTGATGCCACGATCTTTAGGAGATTATGATATATCCGCATCCCCTGGGCCGGGTCGTAAATTACACGATGTTAGCGATTCTGAGGTCACGATCCCATTTTAAATTGTATAATATTCGCGTTCCCGAGGCCGCGATCCATGGTATTACGCCTTGTTCGCGCCCCCGAGGCCACGATCCCATATACAGTAAACAATATTCGCGCCCCCCGAAGCCACGATCGCATGTAAATTGCATACTACTCGCGTTCCCGAATTGAAGATCCCGGGTGAATTACTTGATTTCGTTTCCGAAGTCACGAGCCCCCAGTACACCGTCTTCGCGTCCCTGAAATCACGACTCGTAGTAAATTACGCGCGATCCCCCGTAAGTCCCACCGTTTTCGCGTCCCTGGGGCCACGATCCCTTGTGAATCATACAATTACACAACAGACAAAAAACCTAATCAGCGGATGGTTCAAAAATTAGTGACAAGGGTATTGGAATCGATTGCGAAGTCGATCGTGAGATCGGTAGCGAGGACGATAATAATTGCGATCATGAGACCGACAATGAAATCGATTCAGTCAGACGGATCGTGAGATCGATCGTGAGATCGCTCGTACGATCTATGGTGAGATTCACTTTGACCGTCTTGAAGCTGTCCTCTCTACTGCTCGTGCAAACATCCCACCCTCCCACCCGCAACTTGGTCGCAAGACTTCTTAAAACAAGACCGTGACGGTAGGTACCACATGGCACTTGGCCACGACACCGACGCCGACGACGACAGCGACAACGACGACGACGGCGCCGCAGACACCGACTACGACGACACCGCCGACGTCGACGTCGACGAAGACGACGACGCCGACGCCGACGACGACGAAGACGACGACGACGTCGCCAACGGAGACGACGACGAGGGAGGAGAAAAAACGACGACGGAAACAACGACGACAACGACGATGGAGGAGGGAAGACGGCGACGACGCGAACGACGAGGAAGGAGGAAGGACGGCGACGCCGACGACAACGACGAGGGAGGAGGGAAGACGACGACGACGACAACGACCACGAAGACGACGACGACGGCGACGAAATAGGAGGGACGACGACGAGACGCCGACGACGGACGACGACGACGACGAGGGAGGAGGATAACGACGAGGGAGGAGTGAAGACCACGACGACGACGACGACGATGACGACGAAATAGGAGGGACAACGACGAGACGCCGACGAAGACGACGAGGGAGGAAGGACGACCACGGCGACAACGACGACGGAAGCGACGACGACGCCAAGACGACGACGACGAGGAAAGACAGAAGACGACGACGGCGACGACGACGACGACGACGAGGGAGGAGGGAGGACGACGACGACGACGACGACGACGACGCAAGAGCGCGCGCGCACGCTTTTGTTGAAAACCCGTGTTGCGAAACCTTGTGTTTTTGTAGGTTTTTTGGACACACGATTTTGGAATCCTTCCGAAGGATTTCGGCATACGCGCGGGACTTCGCGCCCGTCTGCACTTCGTCCCGTTTTCTGTAAGGAGGATTCTCGCGACGGCGCACGCGCAAGGGCGTTCGACAGATTTCGACATGCGCGCGCGAAGCCCGTTTGGTAGCATTTTGTGAACATTTTGAAAAACCCATGGTTTTCTTAAGATTTCGCAAAAGCTCGCGCGTAAGCTTTTTTAGCAGATCAGTGTTGCGAAACCCTGTGTTTTTGTATGCTTTTTGGAAACTCAATTTTGAAATCTCTCCGGAAGCGAAGGTTTTTGAAGGATTTCGGCATGCGCGCGCGACGCCGCGCGCGTATGCATTTCGTTTAATTTTTTTGCAATGTATTCGCGAACAAAGTCTTATGTTAGAGCAAAACATGTCACCGCATAATGTTTTTTACAAAGGAACCTCAAGGGGGGGAAACCCGGTTTGGCTGGGATTGTATGATTTCATATTTAGGATGGACGAGTGCGCAGAATATATATATATATATATATATATATATATATATACATGAAATCGTACTATCCCAGGGGGAGCCGATAAGTCCCCGGGGGGTAGGGGGGTAGAATCTATTAATCTCTTAGAAAGGAGAATCGATAGTGGGATCGATAGTGAGATCGACAAAAATGGGTAATGTAATGAAATCGATGGTGGGACGGATCGATCAGGAAATCGCCCAAAAACCCGGGAACCCGGAAACCCCGCCGCCCACCGATATCGGCCTAGAACTAGCTACGGGGAGCCCAGAAGCCGGAACAAAAAACTGGGAACCGGGAGCCTGGGAACCCAACCGGCTACCGAAAATCGGCCCGGGACTTTCGCTGATTTTTACCATATCCGCTATGGCCCTTTCAGTGCAAATACTGATTGGGGAATATTCCCGTATCCGAGGCTGCGATTCTTCATTAAGTAAATAGTGCTCGCGTCTCCTTGGCCAAGATCCAGAGAGTACATGAAACAATATTCACGTGAATTACTCAATATTCGCTTCCCCGAGACGGCGCCCCTCGCACATTACGCCTTTTTCGCGTTCCCGAAGCCACGCTCCTTTGCAATGTACGCAGTGCTCTCGCGCCTAGACCACGGTATCTAATGAATTACGCCGTGCTCGCGCCACCGAGGCAAAGATTCCCCGAAACCACGGCCCCTTGAAAAATATGCAGAGTAACCCGAAGACCGTCCAAGCCGCGCGATTCTGCCCAAGGTAGCCTCAAGCAACCCACTGTCGACACATGAGGGACAGTTCGGAAAAGGCAGCACAGAGATCAACTATCTCATCTGGATATCAAACTTTCTTGCAGATGCCCATTCGTGTTCGCTCGGCTTCGATACTGCTTCACGGCGACGCCCAGGCATCCCAGCATAGCTCCTGCATGCTCCACTCTGACACAGAAGGGGCCAGCGGCAGAGGGTGAAACCCTTACGGATTACCCGACGCGGAGATCCCCATAGGCGCATCTCATTTTCTAACGCGTCCCACCGTGAGCGTCTGGCTGCGAGCGTCTGGGCGTGAAAGCGAACCCGGATAAGCGACAGGCACGACCGCGATGACGACGGCGGCGGCCACACTGAGAGACAACGACGACTATGATAACAATTCACGACCGGGCAGTGAACAAATTATGTCTTCTCCGTTTCTTCCTCCACCTCCTCATCCTCCTGCGACTTCACCACAATCTGGCCGCAAACCGGTTGGTGTCCCGCCTCCTGGCCTTTCACTCTTTGGGTACCGTAGTGCCACGCCTGCTGTAACCAATTGCCCACGATAGTAATCCACCCCCGAGGTACATGAAAATTTAGGGTTCTGGGGGGACATTACATTTGTTCCCAGCGACGTGGATGTACGGATTTACGGTGTATGGCTAGTAGTAGTAGTAGTAGTAGTAGTAGTAGTAGTAGTAGTAGTAGTAGTAGTCGTAGTAGTAGTAGTAGTAGTAGTAGTAGTAGTAGTAGTAGTAGTAGTAGAAGTAGTAGTAGTAGTAGTAGTAGTAGGAATAATAATAGGAGTCGTATTCGTCGTCGAAGTAGTAGTAGTAGTAGCAGTAGTCGTAGTAGTAGTAGTAGTAGAAGAAGTCGTAGTAGTAGTCGTAGTAGTAGTAGTAAAAATAGTAGTAGTAGTAGTAGTAGTAGTAGTAGTAGTAGTAGTAGTAGTCGTAGTCGTAGTAGCAGTAGTAGTAATACTAACAGTAGTGGTAGCAATACCAGTTCCAGTAATAAACGTAGTAAAAGGCGTAGTCGTAGTCGTAGAAGTAGTAGTAGTAGTGGTAGTAGTAGTAGTA